TCCTTTGTTTCTCAGATCATGAAAATGTCAGGAATGCTGTGACCATATTTCCTGTTTACAGGAAAAGTATCATCCGAAGTATAGAATGAAGTCAAGCAGAAGGAAGAAAGAGAAAAAGTGAGAGATCTGGAAGCATCAAATTTCTTGTAGGTCCTTGGTTCCTGATGTTCTTTCATAGTTTTGTGAATTCTCCTACTATCCTTCTAAATACGTATATATTTTTCTTAATCTAGTGTAGGTTTAGGGTATTTTTATTTATACTGGAAAGAACCTGGCATAATACATCTGTATATTGGGTATTTCTGGGAACTGCCACCTTCTCTAACCTAGACCTAAATATTGAGGAATAATCTAGAAAGTAATCTACTCCTCTGCCCAACTCCATGATATTAAGTCAAATATATTAGAGGTAATATATGTCAAATAGTGTTTCTGGTGGGAGAAAGGATCAGAAAAGAAAAGAAACAAATGACATGATTTTTACCTTTAAAAAAGACTCCACTCAATGGGGCTGGGGTTATGGCTCAGCAGTAGATTGCTCACCTAGCATGTGAGAGACGCAGGGTTCAATCCTCAGCACCACATTAAAAAAAATAAAAGTATTATGTCCAACAACAACTAAAAAATATTTTTTAAAAAAGACTCCACTCAAATACAAGATTTCCACATTTCAACCTCACTTGCTACTCTATAATAGATTCTTTTCCTCCAATTAAATCTTAAAACTTTATCTATGATTATATTGCCTTTCCAATTAATTATATTAACATCTATACTTGGTATCCTAAAAGATAAGAATAAAAAATAATTTAAAATTGTTTAAAATTTTAGGATAATTATTGATCTACAGAAAAATTATGAAAATGGCACACAGAATTCCTATATACCTCACCTGTAATTTCCTTCATTATTAACTTCCTATATTACTATGGTACATTTGTGACAATGAACCAATACTGATATATTAAAGTAGGTATTTTATTCAGACTAGTTTAGTTTTTATCTAATGCCCTTTTTCTGTTCCAGGATCTCACCCAGAATATCATGTTGCATTTAGTCATCATGTCTCCTTAGGCTCCTTTTGGTTTGTAGCAGTTTTTCAGATTTTCTTTGTTTTTGATGACCTTGACAGTTTTTGTTTTTTGGTTTGTTTTGTGGTGTGAGGAATTAAACTTAGGGCCTTATGCATGCTAAACAAATGCTCCAACACTGAGCTACAACCCCAACCTTAACAATTTTAAGGAGTATTGGTCAGGTGCTTTGTAGAATATCCCTCAATTTGAATTTGATGATTTTCTTATGATCAGACTGAGTTTATGAGGTTTTTGAGAGGAAGACGACAGAGTGTTACCATCATCATGTCATATCAAGGTTATACTATCAATGTGATTATAACATTATTAATTTTAACTTTGATCATCTGGCCTAAGGAATTGACTTTTACCTTAATTTATTTAATACCTAATCTAGATCTACCTATATGAAAGCACTTATGTACTGTCTTGGTGATTTGGATTGGACTCATTACTAGGGGAAAAAGGTTGGTGAGGTAACCATCAAAACAGGAAAAAAAAAAAAAAAAAAAAGCTGGCCACAGGGTGGTGCATGATGGCATGCCAGGTATTCAGGAAGCTGAAGCAGGATGATCCCTAGCTTGAGGCCTGGGCAACTTAGGGAAACCCTGCCTCAAAAAAAAAAAAAAAAAAAAAAAAAAAAATTAAAAAAGTTGGGAATGTAGCTCAGTGGTAAATTACCCTTGGGTTCAATCCCTAATACCTACCCAAAAAAAAAAAAAAAAAAAAATCCCTCAGGAAGTGAAAAGAGGGTTGACTTTTAAACTATGGCCTTGACATTTTTTAGACATATAACTTTGGACAAGTTATTTTTGCATCTGTAAATGAAATAGTAATACCAAATAGTGCTTTTAAATACCTGTTGAGAAATGTTTGTACATATGTTTTGTAAAATATTATACTTTTAGAACTGTCAGAATCCCATATTTAAAAAAATATCTTGGAAAGAGTTTACATTTTAATGTTAAAATTTAATTTAATTTAATTTTTAATGTTAAAAATTAACATTATCTAGGGGGTTTATTTTCAACTCTTGGATGAGCAGAGAGTGTAAGGATGGGCTTAGGCCTGAGCCTAAGCAACTCCATTTTAAAACTCCAGTTTGAAACCTGCAGTCTCACCACACACGCCTAATGGAGCCCTCCAGTATGGCCCTTAGGCACAAACAAGTCACTTCTTCCCATCCTGACAAACTCAGGGTGAAGTCTCTGGCATGTTGTCCTCACCCCATAAGGGAGAAAGGCGAAAAAATCAGGGTAAGGACCACCAGACCAGATGCTTTAACCCCAGTGTAAATGACATCACTGAGAGACCTGGTGGCAGCTGATAGGGATTGAAAGGGTGGTCAAAAGCCCCAAAATTTATTATAAATGATGGAGCAAATGAACATACATTCAGCCAGACAATACTAATGCCCTCACGCTGGAGAACCTGAAGAGGATCTGGACTGACATCCTATCTCTTCTCATTGTTTGTCTGATCCTCTGCATTTTCCTCAGTACTCTCAAACTCTACAGCCACATCTTGACCCTGGTGAGAGCCACAAATTTTCCCTACAACCCTCTCCTCGACCAGCCATCAGTGCCACCCCAGGAGAAGCCTGCCTTGGTTTCTGATCTAATCACCATGTGAAGGTGTATCTGCTGGATGCCTTAGGCTTGAGACTTTTGATCTGACACTTGAACTTAGCATGCAGAGGGAATGTCTGTCATGAGCCTGTCATAATTAAGTGTGTTTGCAGTGTTTAAAATTAATCTAGAATTGTTTGCTGTGAATTGATTATGTCTATTTCAGTGCCTAGCATTAAGGATTGTCATTTTCTTGATTAAGAAAATTTAGCTACCTAAAGAGTAGCTAAACTGTGAAACCAACCTAGATGCCTTTCAATAGAAGAATGGATAAAAAAAATGTGGCATATATACACAATGGAATTTGCTCAGCAATAAAAGAGAATAAACTCCTGGCATTTGCAGGTAAATGGATGGAGTTAGAGAAGATAATGCTAAGTGAAGTTAGCCAGTCCCCAAAAAACCCAAATGCCGAATGTTTTCTTTGATATAAGGAGGCTGATTCATAGTGGGGTAGGGAGCAGGAGCATGGGAGGAATAAACAACTCTAGATAGGGCAGAGGGGTTGGAGGGGAAGGGAGTGGGCATGGGGTTATTAATGATGGTGGAATATGATGATCATTATTATCCAAAGTATAGGTATGAAGGTATGAATTGTGTGAATATACTATGTATACAACCAGAGATATGAAAAATTGTGCTCTATATGTGTAATAAAAATTGTAATGCATTCCGCTGTCATAAAAAAAGAACCTATAGAGTGAAATTGTATTCAGTGATATGAGTGAATAAAGCATTGACAAAGGCAGAAACGCGTGGACATTCTTTATTTCTCCCCCTCAACTGCATAAGTTGCACTTTTTGCCATCACACAAGGTCAATGTGAGTTGAGAGGGTTTTCTGAGTTCCCATTTTTGTCTTGCTTCTTTTTGCCAGTCTGCTTGCTTTCTCATAATAAAGGGGATTCCCTAGATATTATGAAGCCACAGCAAAGAGCTCAACTTCATGTGAATTAACTATAAATAATTTTGATGATACTTCTTTTTCTCTACAGTATCTGTGAGAGAGAAAACATCCCTCTTTGAAAGTTGAATAATTTTTGTAAGCTGCAAGACAATTAACTTTATTTTAGCAATGGACCGGAAGCATAGAATAATTATTCAAAGATGAAAAATCTTTCTGTCTCGGAATCGTGCTACTTGATTTGAATGAAAATACCAGTTTTTGTGTTCTTTAGGTTTTATGTTGGTGGCAGTTATTTTTTAAAAAATAGTTTTAGTTGTTGATGGACACAATACCTTTATTTTGTTTATTTTTTTATGTGGTCCTGGGGATCGAACCCAGTGCCTCATACGTGCTAGGCAAGCTTCTAACCACTGAGCCACAAACCCAGTCCCCATGGCAGTTATTGATAAAGCAACTCCATCTCTTTTTTAAACAAGTGAGAGCCAGTAACTTAATTTTTTCTTTATACACATAGAAAGGAAATATGCAGAGAAAAAAGAAGAGGCAGGGCTTTCTCTGCACCAGTGAAATTAACACTGCACATAAAAGCAACAGCTAGCCTGATATAACGCAAAGACTAGTGATATGGATTCAAGCCTAATTCTGTTTCAAACAAGATATAAGACTTAGAGAAAGTTTTTGAACGTCTTTGTTTATTGTATTTCTGAGTTGTAAAACTATGTTGTTGAGAAGATGAGACGAGGCGTGCAGAAACAACTTGTGAGAGAGCTATTATTTCTAACCCAGAACGTGTTCCCTGTCAGTAAGGGTGCATTACTTACTATTCACTGAGAGTAGCTTTTGGACTTTGTATTTGGAAGTCCAGTTGAGCCAAAAGCAGCAGTGCGTTTAAAACCAGGATCTGACTACCCTGAAACATTCTTTCGGATTATGAAGGAAACCACCTGAAGTTTATGTTCTCCTGCTTTTCCCAGTAATGTCTGGGACGTCATATTTTATGACTTTTTTGTTGTTCTTTTCTTTCCTCATCGTTAGCACAAAGGAGAAAATTTCCTCTGAAACAAGTACAACCTTCTTTTGAAACAAAATCTTTCTAGTCACCTGTTTCTAGCAGTAGCTCACCTACTGCTCTCCCTACTTCACCCAGATAGCCAAATTCAACACCTCACATTATCGATCAGAGATAACCCTCGCGAGATAAGATTTCAAGGGGGGGGCGAGAGGAAGCCCACTATCTCGCGAGAAGAGGGGGCATCGGCGGAAACTAACAAATGGCCCCCTAGGCGACCCGGCCCCAGCCAGTGGGCGGGGCCAGAGTACATCCGCCCCCTTCCGGCTCTTTTCCCCGCCCCCCCCAACCCTGAGGTGTTGGGTTCGGGTTCTGGCATCTGGGTTCTCCCGGTTACCTGCGGCCGATGCCAGATTGAGTTCAAAGCCTCCGGCACTCGCTTTGGCCTGATTTGTGGAGGGGGGGCGGGGAGGGACCTGCAGCTTGCGGCCCCGCCCCCTTCTCCCGCTAGCCGGCGAGCCAATCGGCCCGCCTCCGGCTTCGGCCGGCCCTGGGGCCGCGTTCCCGGTGCAACCTGGTAGCCGAGGCCTGAGCTTCTACTCGTAGGTGCCGGTGGCGAGGCCTCAGGGCACAGCGCGGTTCGGCCTCATGGTGGGTTTTGGAGCCAACCGGCGGGCTGGCCGCCTGCCCTCTCTTGTGCTAGTGGTGCTGCTAGTGGTGATCGTTGTCCTTGCCTTCAACTACTGGAGCATCTCCTCCCGCCACGTCCTGCTTCAGGAGGAGGTAGCCGAGCTGCAGGGTCAGGTCCAGCGCACTGAGGTGGCCCGCGGGCGTCTAGAGAAGCGCAATTCGGACCTCTTGCTCTTGGTGGACACGCACAAGAAACAGATCGACCAGAAGGAGGCCGACTACGGCCGCCTCAGTAGCCGGCTGCAGGCCAGGGAGGGCCTGGGGAAGAGATGTGAAGATGACAAGGTAAGGACGAGCTCTTTCCCCTCAAACCCCATCGTTTTCTTTCAGTTCCTGTGGGGGTTTTGGCCCACAGGAATTTATCCCTTCTAGGATTGCAGCCCTGAAAGCTCCTCTTGCCCTCCAAACCCTGCTTCTGTCAGACGTATCTCAGTTTATTAATGCCACAGTCTCTAGTCTCTGCCAGAGACTGGCTTTAAGTACTGGTTCTCAAGAACGAGAAGTTAGCCTGTGTGTGGTTGCCGCCTTTTCACCAGGCTCAGCTGCTGAGCTGGCAGTGGTAATCATCTGGCCTGTGTGGCTGCCTTACGTTCCCAGACACAAATCTGGAGACTGCCAGGTTTGGAGGGGGTATTGTTGTCTCATCCTTATTCTGTGCACACGGATCATTGTTAATTTCTTTATTTGAAAAATGGTGTCTCCTCTAACTCCTTTTGGCGAGACACACATACACACAATTTTTTAAAGCAACATGACTTCTTAATTCTCTATAGGGTGATGTATCAACTAAGGAATCAGATATTACTGCCTTTTTGTGATCAAAATTTTGTGATAAATGGGTCCTGGAGCCATATGTGAGCCACACTTGTGACTTGGACTTGGTTAATCCGCAGTTATCTACTCAATTTGAATTGTTAATGAAATTAGCCAAAATGGTAGGTAGAATCTAAAAATAAGTCCTAAGCAGCAGAATCTTATGTCTGTGTCCTCATTGTTCTTGAAATAAAATGAAATTGTGTATGCTTAAGAGTAATAATTGTTGTTTTATGTAGAAAACAAACTTTGAATTAAAAACAAAGTTTTAAATTTAAAAAGTTTAAAACTGGACTAACCATGCCTGCTGTCTTTGCTTTTTCCAGTATATTACTAGCTGTACTAACAATTTATGATTTACACAACTTCTGTTGGTATAGCAGAGTTGTCCATATTTCTGAATGTGATAGTAGATGTCTTATTTTCTGAACTCCTTTTTAGTAATATTCACTTTTTAATGTAAGTTTCCATTATAAGTTTTTACTTTGTGTATCAAAATCTTTTAGAGTAAATCACTATAAAAATCTGCATGAGCTCCCAACTTTCCTATTGTGATTGGTCTCTACCTTCTTCCTTATTTCATAAGATTGAGGCCCTCAGGTAAGTGTTTCCCTGTGTCTCCCCCCTCTTCACCATTACATAAGATATCCTCTGAAAAGGACAAAGGACCAGCAAATTTATGCACTTACTACACATCAAACTCTAAAGACTGAAAAAGTCTCTTGGGTAGCGTAGGCAGAAAACTGTGCAGTTTTGGACCTCATTAAATGAGGTCTTCAGACTTGGAATGGTTAAGCATTATTTAAATTCTTATATATTCATTTTTTTTCTAGTATACACTCTGGATTGCATTTCTTCTATCTATTGGACTGTTGCCACCTCTTTCAGTAGGTTTTTAGTTTTACTTTGAATCAGGTGCAACTGTCAGTTCTAAATTTTAAAATTTCTATACATACTCCCTTTTCTCTAACAATTACTTTCTTTTTTAATTTTCACTGCTTACTCAAGTTATTGGTGGCCTATTAATGCTTTGTGTATTTCTTTTTTTTTCATCCCCATCCTAATCTTTGAAAATTCTGTCTGCCACTTCTTTTTTCCTCTTTTCTGAAGCTTTTATGTGAAAAGTCACAAGTGGCAGTAAGCCTTTCAAATCCAAAGAACATTATGATTCTCAGTTTATTTAATATTTTGTTTGGTCCTCTTGTCTCTAGCTTTTTGGAAACTATCTCTTTCCTTGCTTCTGTAATATTGCTCTCTTCAGATTCTCTTTCTATTCTTTCTTTACTGTATTCTTTGCTGTTTTAATTTTTTTTTGCTTTTTCCCCAACCACTCTGTTCTTGGGCCTTTGTTTTCCCCCTTAGAGCAGTATTTCCTAAAGTGGTGTTAAACAGCATACTGTTCTTGGAATTTATGGGTGGTCAAGAGAAAAAAGGAAAACATATTTGGAAGAAAATACTAAGAACTATATCTATCTCTTAGAGTTCATAATGCCTATTGGCTATAAAGGGCTCTGTGAAATCCATTGGTAAAGAAGTCTGTTTAATTTTGTTTAACCCAATCTTTCTCAGTTTTTATTTGAGCACAGCTTACCATTTTCATGGCCTACTATTACCACAGTATAGAAGAATGTAGCAAAGCACACTAACATGGGGAATGTTGCCCTAGATATTTTAACTACTTTTAAGTGTTTGGCTAATATTCTATGCAGCTAGAGCACAAACCTATATCTCCTGACTATAGGCCAGTTATATATTTTGAGCTAACTATGACATTTTTGTTGGAGTGCTTGTGAGTGAACTTGGGGTTAACAAGGAGGCTCTGAGCTACCCAAAAAATTATGATAGTCTTGGTGTGTGTGTGTGTGTGTGTGTGTGTTTTTATATATATATATAATTTTTTTAAAGAAAAGTTTTAGATCTATAAAATTATTGTGAAGATAGTGCAAAGTATTTCCATATTTTCCATACCCAGTTTCCCTTATTATTACTATCTTATATTAGGATGGCACTTTTTTTTTTTTTAAGTTGTGAGTGGACATAATACCTTTATTTTATTTATTTATATGTGGTGCTGAGGATCCAAACCAGTGCCTCACATGTGCTAGGCTCCAGCTACAACCCCAGCCTCATGGAGACACGGTTGTTATAATTAATGGACCAGTATTGATATATTGTGACTAACTCAGGAGCATACTTTATCCACATTTTCTTCATGTTCTTTTTGTGTTCTAGGATCCCATTTAGGGTACTATTACTTTTAATCTTCATGACTTCTTTTTTAAAAATATTTTTTTAGTTACCAATAGATCTTTATTTTATTTTTTTATATGTGGTGCTGAAGAGTTGAACCCAGTGCCTCACACATGCTAGGCCAGCTCTCTACCACTGAGCCACAACCCCAGCCCCTTCATGACTTCTTAAGTTGCTTAAATTGTGATACTTTTTCAGATTTTCTGTGTTTTTGATGATCTTGACAGTTTTGAGGATTTCTGATCAGGGATTTTGAAAAATTTCTTTGAATTGGAATTTGTCTGCTTTTTTTTCTCAGAATCAGACTCAAATTATAGTTTTTGGAAAAAAGACCATAAAGTACCAATCTTATCACGTTATATCAAAGTTACATCTTTCAAATGACTTACATCACAATCGATATTAACCATTATCACCTGCTTGAAATAGTGCTTGCCAGTCTTCTTCATTGTAAAATTACTGTTTTTTTCCCCTCCCTTCCTTGTCTTTATACTTTGGAAGAAATTCATATGTCCAGCCACACTTAATGATTAGTGAATAGTGAGTTACAGTTGTAATGAAGGGCAGGGTATCCACATAAACTATTTGGAATTCTTTTCCCCTGGAGGTTTGTCGCTTCTCTTTGACTAATTAATTTATTTAATCATTTATTTATATCACTATGGACTTGTGGATATTTATTTCATACTTTGGACTATAATCTGGTGCTACTTTATTTTGTTGCCCAAATTGTTCCAGCTCTGACTTGGGGAGCTAAGCCTTCAGTTGGCTCCTATTTCCTTTCCTTACTTTTATATGCCAGAAAGTAGAGTTTGCACATACGCCATGCCCAGTTGCCTTGTCATATACCTCTTCCTTACTTTTTGGCACTCTTAACATTCTCTAGGCTCATCTAGTATATTTTCTGCTTCAGTCTTAGGCCAGCATTTCTCCAGGGAGTTCTAGTTCTCTTTAATGGAGAATAGTGTTAGATCTGGGTGCTAGGTATGCCCATTGCTACTGTCAGGCTGTCTTTGGAAATCTAAGAATCCCTGTTCCATTGGAAGCAGAAAGATAATATTGGCTTCTTCCAGATTTATTATGTCATACTGATATTTTCAATCTGTTATCTAGACTACTAAACACAGAATAAAGGAAATTAAAATTGTTCCTATTGTTGTCCAGGAAAGTGAGAAACAAGATCCATTTATCTGGATTCCTTCAAATTTTTTTATTTGCCTTCCCTGTAAAGCGTTTCAGCATGGAAAGGTATAGAAGTTTGCTAGGGCTGCCATAACAAAATACCACAGACTAGGTGGCTTAAACAACAGTTGTGGAGGCTGGAAATCTAAGATCTAGGTACTAGCAGAGTTGGTTTCCTCTGAGGCCTGGTCTCCTTGACTTGTAAATGGCTGTCTTCTTGCTCCTTTATCCTTACAGAGTGCTCCCTCTGTGCATTTACAAACCTGGTGTCTCTTCCTTTTAGACAGTGGTCTAAGGGTTCAACACTAATGGCCTCATTTTAATTTAATTACCTCTTTAAAGATCTTATCTCCAGTATGGTTACATTCTGATGTTCTGGGCTTTGGGACTTATGAATTTGGGGCAATACAATTCAGTCTAAAAGGAAAAAAAAAAAAAGTCTTATTAGAAACATACACACACATAAAAGTTCAGTTTTGAGGATTGAAACTGATGACAATAAATGACCACTTTTTTCTATAACTACCATAATTCTTCCCGAGTTAGGGTATACCTTTAGTTGAGTAAAGGTCATGGCCCAGAAAAGAGAATAAGAAGCATATTACATTTTTCCCCCCAGAAATGTCTTTATTGTGTGTGTGTTTGTGTGTGTGTGTATAACACTTATTCACATGCCAAATATGTATGTGTAAAAATCCTGGCATACAGTAGATATTCAAAGTTCAAATCCTGACTCTGCTAATTTATGTATGACCTCATACACATTATGTATGACATAATTTAATTTATGTATGACCTCTGACACATTACTTCTCAGTGCCTCAGTTTCCTCATCTATAGAATGAGGATAATAATAATAAACTTTTTCATTTTTGTGAAGTTTAAATGAATAAATTACTTAGAATTCTTAAAACAGTGTCTACTGCATAGTTAATAAAAAAGGTTCAGTAAGTACTGTGTTAGTTATTATTATTCTACAGATACTTCCTTATTTCTGTCCTGCCTTCTTTCCAGGATGGGGCTCTGTGTTCTTGCCCAAG